TTATGTAACACCAAAAAGAAATCATACTAGTAATATCACCATGAAATCTTACAGAAAAATCGATGTGAAATTGCGAGGCTCACAGTGATAGGTACATGTTTTTAAAATTTTTTAAAAATTTTATTTAAGGAATTTAAACATCATATATTTCATATGTACAAATTTAGGAGCATAGTGATTCTTCTCACCCTACCTCCCTTCCACTCATTTTCCCATCCTTCTTCTTCTTTCCTCTCCCATTCCCATTCTTATTTTTTTCAAAGATCTATTTTCAGTTACCTTTTTTTTTTTTTTTTTTTTTGACAGAGTGGAACAGAGAGAGACAAGCGAGAAAGGTCTTCCCTTTTGCCCTTGGTTCCCACTATCCAATGGCCGCCCACAGCTGGCGCACCGCGCTGATCCGAAGCCAGGAGCCAGGTGCTTCTCCTGGTCTCCCATGGGGTGCAGGGCCCAACCACTTGGGCCATCCTCCACTGCCTTCCCAGGCCACAGCAGAGAGCTGGCCTGGAAGAGGGGCAACCGGGACAGAATCCGGCGCCCCGACCAGGACTAGAACCCGGTGTGCCAGCGCTGCAAGGTGGAGGATTAGCCTACTGAGCTGCGGCGCCGGCCTCAAATTTTTAATATTTATTTGAAGGCCCAAGATTTTATCATTGGCAGCAAACACTGTTAGTATTTTTTCTTTTTTTTTTTTAATTTATTTTTTACTTATTTTCAAATAAGAGAGAGAGAGAGAGAGAGAGAGATCTTTAATCTGCTGGTTTACTCCCGAAATGGCCACAGTGGCTGGAGCTGTGCCATATGAAAGCCAGGAGCCTCTTTCCAGTCTCCTATGTGGGTGCAAGGGCCCAAGCACTTGGGCCATCTCAGCTGTTTTCCCAGGCATGTTAGCAGGGTGCTGGATCAGAAGTGGAGCAGCCAGTTCTCAAACCGGTGCCCAAATGAGATGCTGTAGCCATATAGGATGTTGGCATTGCAGGCGGAGGCCTAACTCACTATGCAACAGCACTGGCCCCTAGTTTTTTTTTTTTTCTTGAAGTTGATAGACTCTTGTTTTTAAGAAAGTCTTCCAGGTTTCCATCTGAATAATCATAGTTTCTCCATCTGTGGCTTTTTCAGTTTAAAATATTGATATATGACAAAAGTGACCAGTTTAGCTAACAAACGATTACTTTTTCTGTAGATACCCATCATACCTGGTATAAGGTATAAACAAATTTTTCCTTCTGTTTACTTCAAGGATGTGGGAGTAAAAGAATCCAATGAGTCCTAGTAGGATCATTGTCAATGCATCATTTCCTAAAGTACTGGTGGTTTTAACCACAACTGACTTTTTAAAAAAAAAAGATTTATTTTATTTATTTGAAAGATTTAACAGAGAAAGAGGTAGAGACAGAGAGGCCATCCATCTGCTGGTTCACTCTCCAATTGGCTACAACAGCCATAGGTGAGCCAATCTGAAGCCAGAAGCTAAGAGCTTCCTCTGGGTCTCCCACGTGGGTGCAGGGGCCCAAGGACTTGGGCCATCCTCTGCTTCTTTCACAGGTGCATCAGCAGGAGATTGGATTGGAAATGGAGCAGCTGGGTGCCCATAATGGGATTAAAGCCAGGGCTTTAACCCACTGTGCCACAGTGCCAGCCCCAACAACTGACTTTTTACCTTTAGTGCAGCTAGGCTAAGATGAGTGAGGGAACAAAATTTAAGGACATTCTCAGTGTCCTGAAACTGGGTACAAGTCAACACAATTAAAAGGGCAAATAATGCCATAAAATTTATCATGAAAAAAGTTGTTACTTTGCAGTTGCTTGAATCATACTTTGAGAAGTGTTCAGAAGATGTTATTTTTCTGCTTGTATACATTGATGTCTTCTGATTGAACAAGGTAAATATAGAAACTCCTTAATGTCATATAGAAACCCCTGCATTAGCTTCCCCTAGTCCATTTTCTAACCCCATTTATTTTTTTTATCTTTTATTTAATGAATATAAATTTCCAAAGTACGACTCATGTGTTACAATGGCTTCCCCCCCATACCGTCCCTCCCACCCACAACCCTCCCCTTTCCCACTCCCTCTCCCCTTCCATTCACATCAAGATTCATTTTCGATTATCTTAATATACAGAAGATCAGCTTAGTATACCTTAAGTAAGTATTTCAACAGTTTGCTCCCACACAGAAACATAAAGTGAAAAATAATAGATGATTTTTTTTAAATGATGATGAAATCAGATCAGACCTATTGTCATGTTTAATCCCAGTGAGAGTCAAGTTGGGAATTGATAATTTCTTTTTTCTTTTTTTTTTTTTTTACAGAAGATCAGTTTAGTGTACATTAAGTAAAGATTTCAATCGTTTGCACCCCCATAGAAACACAAAGTGAAATATATTGTTTGAGTACTCATTATAGCATTAAGCCTCAGTGTACAGCACGTTAAGGACAGAGATCCTACATGAGGAGTAAGTGCACAGTGACTCCTGTTGTTGACTTTACAAATTGACACTCCTGTTTATGGCATCAGTAATCTCCCTATGCACCAGTCATCAGTTTCCAAGGCTATGGAAGCCCCTTGAGTTCTCCGACTCTTATCTTGTTTAGACACGGTCATAGTCAAAGTGGAGGTTCTCTCCTCCCTTCAGAGAAAGGCACCTCCCTCCTTGAAGACCTGTTCTTTCCACTGGGATCTCACTCACAGAGATCTTTTTGCCAGAGTGTCTTGGCTTTCCATGCCTGAAATACTCTCATGGGCTTTTCAGCCAGATCCGAGTGCCTTTAGGGCTGATTCTGAGGCCAGAGTGCTATTTAGGACATCCGCCATTCTATGAGTCTGCTGAGTATCTCACTTCCCATGTTGGATCACTCTCCCCTTTATTTATTCTATCGGTTGGTGTTAGCAGATACTAGACTTGTTTATGTGCTCCCTTTGACTCTTAGTCCTTTCATTATGATCAATTGTGAACTGAAATTGATCACTTGGGATAGTGAGATGGCATTGGCACATGCCACCTTGATGGGATTGAATTGGAATCCCCTGGTATGTTTCCAACTCTACCAATTGGGGCAAGTCAGCCCGAGCATGCCCCAAATTATACATCTCTTCCCTCTCTTATTCCCACTCTTATGTTTAACAGGGATCACATTTCAGTTAATTTTCAACACTTAAGAATAACTGTGTGATAATTACAGAATTAAACCAGTCATATTAAGTAGAACAGACAAAAAAAAATACTAAGAGGGATAATGTATTAAGTTGTCCATTAGCAGTCAGGGCTATGCTGATCAAGTCACCATTTCTCATAGTGTCCATTTCACTTCAGGAGGTTTCCTTTTTGGTGTTCAGTCAGTTGTCACCGATCAGGGAGAACATATGGTATTTGTCCCTTTGGGACTGGCTTACTTCACTCAGCATGATGTGTTCCAGATTCCTCCATTTTGTTGCAAATGACTGGATTTCGTTGTTTCTTACTGCGGTATAGTACTCTAAAGAATACATATCCCATAATTTCTTTATCCAGTCTACCATTGATGGGCATTTAGGTTGGTTCCAGGTCTTGGCTATTGTGAATTGTGCTGCAATAAACATTAGGGTGCAGACCGCTTTTTTGTTTATCAATTTAAACTCCTTTGGGTAAATTCCAAGGAGTGGGATGGCTGGGTCGAACGGTAGGGTTATATTCAGGTTTCTGAGGAATCTCCAGACTGATTTCCATAGTGGCTTGACCAGTTTGCATTCCCACCAACAGTGGGTTAGTGTCCCTTTTTCCCCACATCCTCGCCAGCATCTGTTGTTGGTAGATTTCTGTATGTGAGCCATTCTAACCGGGGTGAGGTGAAACCTCATTGTGCTTTTGATTTGCATTTCCCTGATTGCTAGTGACGTTGAACATTTTTTCATGTGCCTGTTGGCCATTTGGATTTCCTCTTTTGAAAAATGTCTATTGAAGTCCTTGGCCCATCTCTGAAGTGGGTTGTTGGTTTTGTTTTTGTGGAGTTTCTTGATCTCTTTGTAGATTCTGGTTATTAACCCTTTATCTGTTGCATAGTTTGCAAATATTTTTTCCCATTCTGTCGGTCTAACCCCATTTACATCTCTCCCTCCTACCCCCTACACTATGCTCTAGCCTAGTGTATTGTGGACTTTTTTTTTTTTTTTAAACAGGCAGAGTTAGACAGTGAGAGAGAGAGAGAGAGAAAGAGAGAAAGGTCTTCCTTCCGTTGTTTCACCCCTCAAATGGCTGCCATGGCCAATGTACTGCGCTGATCCGAAGCCAGGAGCCAGGTGATTCCTCCTGGTCTCCTGTGTGGGTGCAGGGCCCAAGCACCTGAGCCATCCTCCACTGCACTCCCGGGCCACAGCAGAGAGCTGGACTGGAAGAGGGGCAACCAGGACAGAATCCGGTGCCCCAGCCGGGACTAGAACCCGGGGTGCCGGCAACGATGCCGGCCACGCTGTGTGGTTTTGATGCTACCTTTGCTTGGAATGTTCTTCAACTGGCAACCTTCTGCTCATCTTTTACAGTGATTCAATGTCAGTTCAAATGTCATCTCTTTTCTAAAGCCTCCCCTGATTTCCCCACAGTCAAATTTATCACTCATTTTCTCTTGGAACAAAACATGCTTCTACTATAGCACTTATTGCACAGTTGAGTCTATTGTTTACATGACTAATTCTCATGCTGTATTTAATTCAGTTAAGCAAGTCAGTTCCAGATGCTATGGTAGGCTCCAGGAACATAAAAACGAACTAAGTTTTAAGAGGTCATATTTTAGAGAGGAAATTGAAAGCTAAATAATCACATTTTGCAAGTGCTATAATTGAATTCTAAAGTAAATGCTAAGAAGACAGAATTAATTCAATGCTTCTTGCAAGCAGAGGCAATCTATGCTTTATCCATTGTTAGTTAGCACTCTGGTATATAGAAGATAGACAATAAATGTTGGTTACATGAAGATTTAACTGCTTTTAATTAAGCTGTCTCATTTCCCCTTTGTTTTTCAGAATGCAAGGTATGGAGAAACCCTCTAAACCTTTTCAGAGGAGCAGAATATAGGAGGTATTGTATTTTGCTTTCAGTATAAATGTGGCATTGATCTTAGAGTAAAAGTATTATGGGGGAGCATTTGGTGCAGTGCTTGAGATGATTTTTGGTGCAGCAGGTTAGGCCACCACCTGTAATGCTGGCATTACATATGAATACCGGTGTTCTACTTTCAGTCCAGCTCCCTGCTAATGTGCTTGTGAAAGCAGCAGAATATGGCCCAAGTACTTAGGCTCCTGCTATCCATGTGGATAGCACTCCATCTGGACAGAGTTCTGGACTCTTAAATTTGGCCTGGTCTAACCCTAACCATTGCTGGGAGTGAACCAGAAAATGGAAGATCGCTCTCTCTCTCTTTTTCTGTAACTCTCTGTCTTTCAAATAAATAAATCTCTAAAGAAAAAAGATGCTACTTCGTATATATTCATCCCATATTGTAATGCCTGAGTTCAAGTCTTGGCTCTACTTTGATTCTGACTTCCTACTAATACACACCCTAGGAGGCAGAAAGCAATGGCTCAAGTAGCTATGTCCTCACCACCATGTAGAAGACCTGGATTGAGTTCCAGGCTCCTGGCTTCTGGCTGGCCCATCTGAGGCTATTTTGAGCATTTAAGCCAGCACTGTGGCATAGCCAGTAGAGCCACTGTCTGCTGTGCCAGCATCCCATGTAGGTGCTGTATCGGGTCCCAGCTGCTTTGCCTCTGATCCAACTCTCTGCTATGGTCTGGGAAAGCAGGCCTCTGCCTCTCTGTAACTCTATCTTTCAAGTGAATGAATAAATCTTAAAAAAAAAAAAAAGGCAGTAAACCAGTGGTGGAAGATCTCTCCATCTTTGTATGGCTATATCTCTTTCTGCTTCTCTGCCTTCCAAGTTAAAAAAAAAAAGTACATAAGGTAGACTATCAGCAACATGAAGGATAGAATGCTTGGGGCTGCCGCAAGTTTTAGGAAAAAGGTGCTATAGAAAGATTCGTTTTCATAAATATATCACAGCCCTTCTTGTTAGAGATTCTGACATACAATAAGGTAAACTAATTAGCTCAGAGTTTAATTGGTGCATTTTGACTTTGTTTACTTTCATAATCATGAAAAACGTCTCAAATCATGGTTTGTAATACCTAATAAGTATTTATTAGGTCCCTGGTTCATGGGAAAAAAAACCTTTTTCTTCTGTGAGATTGAGAAGAAAATTACAGGTATCAGCATATTCGTTTGCATGTTACATTCAATTTCAGAATATATTTGAGAATTCAGTAGAAAATAACAATGGGAATGGGAATGTGGATTTCTTTTCTGCAACAGTACAGAGTACTGTTTTTAACTGATTTTATATTGCAGTTTTGTATCTGTACTGCTGTGCCCATTTCTCTTCCAGTTTTTATGCTAAATTAAAAAACATCTTTTGAACCTTACAACTAAAGATACTTCACTTTTATTTTGAGGAGGAGGATGTTTTACCTGCTGGTAGACTGGGCATGTTATTTAATTCATTGAACAAGTAGTGTGTGTCTGTTGTGTGTGAGTATGGGTGCTGTGTAAAGTGTGGAATTACCGAAGTGATGCAGCAACAACTCCTGTGCCTAAGGACTTGAAAGTGTAAGGTAGTGGTACCCTGAGTAGAAAAATCAGGCTTTTGTGAGAGATACTATTAGCCTATATTAAGGGATTCTGTAAGAAACAGGTCCTTACATATTACTTTATGAAGATCTTAAAGAGGAATTTCTCAGTATCAGGAGTATTTAAGGTTACTTTTGAATAATTAGTTGTCTTAATGTGAAAGTCTAAATTGTATTAATAACTGGTGGTGTTTGAGAGCTTGAAGCTCAAGGCCAGTGTTGTGACATGGGGTGAGGGTTAAGCTGCCACTTGAGAAGTCAGTATTCCATATTAGAGTGCCAGTTCAAGTCCTGCCTACAGCACTAGCATCCCATATGGCTGCTGGTTCATGTCCCAGCTGCTCCTCTTCCAATCCAGCTTCCTGCTAATATGCCTGGGAAGGCAGTGGAGGATGAACCAAGGGCATGGGCCCCTGCTAACCATTTGGGATGCCTGGATGGAATGGCTGATTCCTGGCTTCTGCCTGGCCCAGCCCCAGCTATTGTAGTTATTTGGGGAGTAAACCAGTGGATGGAAGATATGTCTTGTCTTCCCTCCCACCCTGCTCTGTCTCTTCTTCTGTCTCTGTCATTCTGCCTTATAAATAAATAAATAATGTTTTTATTTTTATTTTTTAAAGAAAGCTTAAAATTTTACTATAGCCAACCCTTAGCAAGTGTATAGAATTATTTGGTATACAGTTGTTTCTTTTTTTTAAGATTTATTTATTTATTTGAGAGACAGAGAGAGGGAGAGACAGAGATAAAGGTCTTCCATCTGTTTGTTCACTTCCTAAATGGCCACAAGGGCTGGAGCTAGGCCAATCTGAAGCCAGGAGCCAGGAGCTTCTTCCAGATCTCCCATGTGAGTATAAGAACCCAAGCACTTGGGTCATCTTCCACTGCCTTCCCAGGCCATTAGCAGAGAGCTGGATAAGAAGAGGAGCAGCCAGGACTAGAACTGGTTTTCTTATGGGAGCAGCCAGGACACGAACCAGTCCTCATATGGCATGCTGTTGCTGCAGGTAGAAGTTAATCTCCTATACCATGTGCTAACCCTATCTTTGGTATATATTTCATATGTTAGCTTCATTCCAGACTTTATTTTGTTTCCCAATCCTTGTTTTTCCTTTACTGAGTTTTTATTTACTTCTAGTTTAGGTTATGGATACCATACTTTATATTTTTAATGGATTTTTATGATTTGAGAAATATGGATTGTTGCTTTTTTATTTATGGACTGCACAGCAAACTTTGATAAGGGAATAAGGATTTGCCTGTTTTTTTCATAATTTCTTCTTCTTCTTCTTTTTTTTTTTTTTTTAAAGATTTTATTTATTTATTTGAGAAGCAAAGTTAGAGAGAGGGAGAAACACAGAGTTATCCCAAACTCACACTCTGGTATGCGATGTCCACATTACACAGAGGTGGCTTAACCCACTGTACCACAGTGTTGGCCTCTAGGTTATTTCTTTTGTTTTACTGTCTATAATAAACTTTAAAAAATCCCAAAGTAGAATTTTTAGCCTTGTATTTTGGGAACTTAAATAGTGTCTTTTGCAGCAGACAGATGCTCTCCATATCCAATTTAAATTTTTTTTGTGTGTTCTGGTAAAGATACACATGGGTGACCGGTAAAGAGCCGCTTACATACTATGACATGAACTTGTCGGCTCAGGACCATCAGACCCTTTTCACCTGTGACACAGACATCCTACGTCCTTCAGACACAGGTACGTGTCATATCTGTTCATGGAGTTAAAAGTAATCATGAAATTTATTTTAAAAGTTCTTTAGAATTATTTACAGTTATTTGGCTTAGGATTATTTAAATTATTGATGAGAAACTCAGGTTAAAGTAAAATGTTTATCATTGTAAACTAGGTTTATATACTGTCTCACTATTTTTCCTTTTAAAAACTTAAAATATTTGTGCTTTTTTTATTAGTTAGAAACCTTCCAGATAAAATACAGCAGCTGCTTATACAATAAATAGTTTTCCCTGTTTTGGATTGGGAAATGAGTACCTGCAATTACACATAAAGGAAAGAAGCAGGACAATGCAGATAGAAAAAATAGGATGTATTTTGTACCAGTTGTAAATTAGAGATGCATATAAAATGGTAGGTCATAGAAATATCTTTGTTTTGTTTTTCTCTATAGAGAGAGAATATTGAGACCCTTAAGTGTATTTCTTAGAAAGAATTTTTTTTTTTATTAAGGTTTATTTATTTGACAGCTAGAGTTGAGAGAGAGAGAGATATCGATCTTCCATCTGCTGGTTTATTCCCCAGTCAGCTGCAATGGCAGGGGCAGGCCCAGGCCAAAGCTAGGAGCCAGGAGCTTCTTCCAGGTCTCTCATGTGGGTGCAGGGGCCCAATTACTTGGACTATCTTCTGCTGCTTTCCCATGTACATTAACAAGGAGCTGGATCAGAAGTGGAACAGCCGGGACTCAAACTGGTGTTCTTAATGGGTTGCTGGTGCTGCAGGCCATTACTTTTTTTTTTTTTTTTTAAAGATTTATTTATTTGAAAGAGTTACACAGAAAGAGGAGAGGCAGAGTGGGGGGGGGGGGGCTTCCATCCACTGGTTCACTCCCCAATTGGCTGCAATGGCCTGAGCTGTGCTGATGCAAAGCCAGGAGCCAGGAGCTTCTTCCAGGTCTCCCACATGGGTGCAGGGGCCCAAGGACTTAGGCCATCTTCTACTGCTTTTCCAGACCATAGCAGAGAGCTGGATGGGAAGTGGAGCAGCTGGGTCTTGAACCGGTACCCACATGGGGTGCCAGTGCTTCAGGCCAGGGCGTTAACCCGCTGCGCCACAGCGCCAGCCCCCCATATGTTAACTTTTAAAGATAATTTACCAAAGTTTGCAGCTTGTACCTCAATAGAGCAAGGATATCTTAAATCATAGAACTGCAGACAAACTGGAACAATACTATTTTTAAAGTTTTTTTATTATTGTTGTTGTTGCCTTATTATTAGATTGTTAATGTAGTAATGAAGAAACAGCAAACTTCTGTGTGGGCTTTTTCTAGAGTTCAGTTTTCCTTGTCCTTTTTCCTCCCTCCCTCCCTCTCTCCCTTCCTTCCCTCTCTCCCTCCCCCCTCTTTCTTTCTTTCTCTCTTTCTTTCTCTCTCTTTTTCTCTTTCTCTTTCTTTCTCTTTCTCTTTTTCTTTCTCTCTCTTTCTCTCTTCTCTCTTCTCTCTTCTCTCTTCTCTCTTCTCTCCCTTCTCTTCTCTTCTCTTCTCTTCTCTTCTCTTCTCTTCTCTTCTCTTCTCTTCTCTTCTCTTCTCTTCTCTTCTCTTCTCTTCTCTTCTCTTCTCTTCTCTTCTCTCTTTTTGACACATAGAGTTACACAGTGAGAGAGACAGAGAGAAAGGTCTTCCTCCCGTTGGTTCACTCCCCAGATGGCCGCTACGGCCAGAGCTCTGCCGATCCGGAGCCAGGAGCCAGATGCTTCTTCCTGGTCTCCCATGTGGGTGCAGGCACCCAAGTACTTGGGCCATCCTCCACTGCCTTCCCGGGCCACAGCAGAGAGCTGGACTGGAAGAGGAGCAGCCAGGACTAGAACCCAGCGCCCATATGGGATGCCGGCACCACAGGCGGAGGATTAACCTAGTGAACCATGACGCTGGCCCCCCAGCTTTTCAAATAGCCACCATGGCTATGTACGTGGTCTTTAAAACATTTCTCTTCAAGCTTCTCCTAAAAGAATTTTGAAAAAAAATACGTGTCCTCTTATGACGTTAAATTGACCTAAGCTTAAATTGACGTAAGCTTAAATAGCCACAAGGATATGACTTTGTAATAAATGTAGATATTTAAAAATAAAACGGGCCAGCATTGTGGTACAGAGGGTTATTGCCCTGGCCTGAAGCGCTGGTATCCCATATGGGCGCCGGTTCTAGTCCTGGCTGCTCCTCTTTCAATCCAGCTCTCTGCTATGGCCTGGGAAAATAGCAGAAGATGGCCCAAGTCCTTTGGCCCCTGCACCTGCGTGGGAGACTCGGAAGAAGCTTCTGGCTCCTGACTTCAGATCAGTACAGATCCGGCCGTTGTGGCCAAATGGGGAGTGAACCAGCAGATGCAAGACCTCTCTCTCTCTCTCTCTCTCTCTCTCTGCGCCTTTCCTCTCTCTGTGTAACTCTGACTTTCAAATAAATAAATAAATCTTTAAAATAAAAATAAAACTGCTATATCATATCTAAACATATGTTTTGGAATCAAATCATTTGATTTCCACCATTATTTATTGAAAAATACATGAACTAATGCTCTTTATCAATAGTAAATTATTTATATTTTTTCTTCTATTTTTTGAAAGATTAATTAATGTATCTATTTAAAAGAGTTACAGAGAGAAAAGGAGAGATTGAGAGATCTTCCATCTGCTTGTTCATTCTCTAGATGGCCACAAAGGCCAGTGCTGGGCTAGTCTGAAGCCAGGAGCCTAGAACTCCATCCAGGTGCACATGGGTGGCAGGGGCCTAAGCACTTCGACCATCTTCTGCTTTCCCAGGCGCGTTAGCAGGTAGTTGAATAGAAGTGGAGCAGCCAGGACTAGAATGGCACTCATAAGGAATGCCAGCAGTGCGAGTGTCAACTTGCCAGCCCTAAGAATTATTTTCTAACAGAGAAGTCTGACTTCATTTTTCAATTCAATAAACATGTTAACATGCAGCCTTATGACAACCATCTGTCTTCGGAATTCAGATTCTAAGATTGAAAGATAGACAGATCTTGGCGCTTTGCCTGGAGCTAATCATTTGACCAAAATAAGGCTCCACTACTTTCCCAATTTTTAGTCTTTACTAATGTCCCCATTTCCTTGCAAAGCATTCTTTGATAGTAATTGGGAAGGGGTGCTAATAGAACTGATAAAAATTATCACCCCCTTCCCACCTTACAACATACTTGAATTCAGAGCATTCTGGGTCCGGAATACTCTTTTCTAGTACCAAGCTCCACAGTTTTTTGTTTTTTAAAGTAGGGCTTGGGTCTTTGGTGTAGTGGTTAAGATGCTGGTATAGTGCCTGGATTCTACACCTGGCTACTCTCCTGACAGGAGCCTCTGCTAATGTGGATCCTCGTAGGCAGCAGTGGTGCTCAGATGATTGGATTTCTGCTACCCACATGGGAGACCTGGATTGAGTTCCAGACTCTAGAGTATTGGCATTTGGGGAGTGAATCAGCAGATGTGAGTTAGTTTCTTTTTCTTTTTTCTCTTCTCTTCTCTTCTCTTCTCTTCTCTTCTCTTCTCTTCTCTTCTCTTCTCTTCTCTTCTCTTCTCTTCTCTCTTTTTCTCTCTCTCTTTCTTTCTATTTGCCTCTCAAATAAATTTACAGAGAGAGAAAGAGAGTAAATAAAAAGCAGGAATCTATATTATATGTGCCTTGATTGAAAATGGCTGTCCTTAAATGCAAGCTGAATTGTCCCCTTGGCACCTGGAGATTTTTACACTCGGAAATATGTCTTTGTTTAGCAAAATAGGAGAAGGGAGCTTATCTTTTGAGGGTGGAGAAAGAGGTATGGGAATTATGGTTAGGTAGGAAGGGAAAAGTAGTATGATAAATAAACTAATCAGAGGAATATTTGTCAGGTAGATCAGTTGTAGGATTGAGAGATAAAAGTTGAAGCTTTAAAAATTGATTTTTTTAGAACCATGCATCGGGCCGGCGCCGCGGCTCACTAGGCTAATCCTCCGCCTAGCGGCGCCGGCACACCGGGTTCTAGTCCCGGTCGGGGCGCCGGATTCTGTCCCGGTTGCTCCTCTTCCAGGCCAGCTCTCTGCTGTGGCCAGGGAGTGCAGTGGAGGATGGCCCAAGTGCTTGGGCCCTGCACCCCATGGGAGACCAGGAAAAGCACCTGGCTCCTGGCTCCTGCCTCCTGCTATCGGATCAGCGCGGTGCGCCGGCCGCAGCGCGCCGGCCGCGGCGGCCATTGGAGGGTGAACCAACGGCAAAGGAAGACCTTTCTCTCTGTCTCTCTCTCTCTCACTGTCCACTCTGCCTGTCAAAAAACAAAACAAAACAAAAAGAACTATGCATCCCATTTTAGTCCTTGTAAAATTCCATGTACATCTAGAGGTTTGCATAATCCCTGCTAAAGCTTATACTGAAGGACAGACTTTATTTGTAAATAATAATTCAGAAAGGGACTGTTGGTTCCATATTAGTCTTTTCAGTCACTCACAAAAGAGTAATGATTTATATCAATAATTTTACATTCCAAAAAAGACAAATGGGGGCAGGTATTTAGCCTAGCAATTAAGACACTGGTTAAAATACCCAAGTCCCACACCGGAGCGCCTGCATTCAATACCTGGCTTTGGCTCTGGACTCCAGCTTCCTGTTAATGCAGACCTAGGAGACAGAAGTGATGGCTCAAGAAATAGGGTCCTAGCACTTGTGTGGGAGACCTGGATTGAGTTCCTGGCTCCTGGCTTTATCTGTAGCCCAGCTCTACTTGTTGTTTGCATTTGGGAAATGAACCAGCAAATGGAGCTTGCCTTTTCTCTGCCTCTTAAATAAATAATTTTTTAAAAAAACAAATGTGTATATATGTGTGATACAACAAATTCCTCTTAGTTTATTTGTCATCAATAATGACTGAATTAGTTGATTTTGTTCTGATCTTACTGATTGGTTATCCTGGGCGGAGAGCAAATCTACCCTTAAGGACAAAACAGCAGTGTTTTTGGATTATTTGTTTCATTTTCAAGATTTAAAATGAGATGATTTCACATTAAAATCCAGATTTGTACTTTTTGAAAGTTGGGAAATACTGGAAAACTGAACCTGCATTTCCACTTGGCAGTAATCAGCAGAAGCTGAGCTGTGGCTTCCCCATTAGATAGTGCTTGTGCTTGCAGTCCACTCCTGTGTGTTTCCTGCCTGGTCTTTGTGGGTGTTTACATTTGTGACCCCTCAACCTGGGATGACTGCCGGTCTCTTGTGCTTGTTAGGTTATTACTTAATTTGAGAAATAGATAAATTTGAGTCAGTTATTTATATTGATTATTTTTAAGCATATCAAGAGCTCTTTAAAGAGGACAGTTGAATACTAAAATAGCATTTTTCTTTAAATTATTCCTAAATCTATTTTAGGAAAAAAGTTAGATATTTTCTTTTTCTATTTTCCCTTAGGCTTAGGACTACCTTGGTGGTGAAGAATAATCTTGAAAGACTGAAAAGAACATTTGAAAAATAAAATTTTAAAAAAGGTCTTACATGTGCATTAGATGACCTCACTGGAAAATTTTTTTAAATACAAATTAAAATACACTAGCTTTCTTTCTTTCTTATTTTTTTTAAAGATTTATTTTATTTATTTGAAAGACAGAGAGGTCTTCCATCCACTGGTTCAATCCCCAGATGGCCACAACGGCTGGAGCTGTGCTGATCCGAAGCCAGGAGCCAGGAGCTTCTTCCGGGTCTCCCATGTGGGTGCAGGGGCTCAAGCACTTGGGCCATCTTCTACTGCTTTCCCAGGCCACAGCAGAGAGCTGGATCAGAAGTGGAATAGCCAGGTCTAGAACTGGTGCCCATATGGGATGCCGGCGCTTCAGGCTGGAGCGTTAACCCGCTGCACCACAGCACAGGCCTCTCTTTATTCCTCCCTCCCTCCCTTCCCCTCTTTTCTTTTCTTTTCTTTTCTTTTCTTTTCTTTTCTTTTCTTTTCTTTTCTTTTCTTTTCTTTTCTTTTCTTTTCTTTTCTTTTCTTTTCCTTTCTTTTCTTTTCTTTTCTTTTCTTTTCTTTTCTTTTCCTTTCTTTTCTTTTCTTTTCTTTTCCTTTCTTTCTTTCTTTCTTTCTTTCTTTCTTTCTTTCTTTCTTTCTTTCTCTCTCTCTCTCTCTCTCTCTCTCTCTCTCTCTCTTCCTCCCTCCCTCCCTCCCTCCCTCCCTTCCTTCCTTCCTTCATTCCTTCCTTCCTTTCTCTCTTTCTTTCTTTCTTTCTTTCTCTCTTTCTCTCTTTCTCTCTTTCTCTCTTCCTTTCTTCCTTTCTAGATTTACTTGTTTGGGGGCCGGCGCTGTAATGTAGTGGGTAAAGCAGATGGAAGACCTCCCTCTCTCTCTGTCTCTCTGTCTCTCTCTCTCTCTGTCTCTCTGTCTCTCCTTCTCTCTCTGTGTAACTCTGACTTTCAAGTAAAATAAATAATAAATCTTAAAAAAAAAGAATTATTTATGGGAAAGGTAGAGTTACAGATGAGGGCAAGATCTTCCTTCTACTAGTTCACTCCCCAAATGGCTGCAGTGGCTGGAGCTGAGCTGATTTGAAACTAGGAGTCAGGAACTTCTTCTGAGTCTCCCATGTGGATGCAGGGGCCCAAATACCTGGGCCATCCTTTGCTGCTTTCCCAGGCCATCACCAGGGGTGCTGGATTGGAAGTGGAGCAGCCAGGACTCGAACCGATGTCAATATGGGATGCTGGCACTGCAGGCGACAGAATTACCTGCTATGCCACTGTGCCGACCTGAACTAGTTTTCTAAATGTATCCAATTAGAAAATATTGGGGCATGTGTTTGGCACAGAGGTTAAGATGCCCCTTGGGACACCTGCATTCCATATCAGTACCCCAGTTCCAGTCTAAGCTTTGTTTCTGATCCAGTTTCATGCTGGTGCATACCCCGGAGGAGCAGATGATGATTCAGAACTTGGATCCCTGCCATGCATGTGGGAGACTCAGAATGAGCTCCAGGCCCCTGACTTCAGCATGGTCCAGCTCCTCTCTCTCCTACTCTCTCTCTGACTTTGAAATAAAAACAATCATAATGTAACAAAGGAATGGAGGAAAGAAGAAAGAAAAGAAGGTAATATAGATCATCTATACCTTACTGGGAATGCTTGGGACCAGAAGTGTTTCAGATTGAGGATTTTTTTTTATTTTGAAATATTTGCATATACATAGTACAATATCTTGTCTAAACACAAAATTCATTTATATTTAATATATACCTTATACATATAGTCTGAAGGTAATTTTCTACAGTATTTTCGGTGTGCCTTTGTTTTGGCTGACTAATCACATGAGGTCAGATGTGGAATTATACTACTGTGACATCATGTTGGTGCTCAAAGGTTGTTCAGATTTTGGGTTTCAGATTTTCAGGTTTAGCGATGTGTTAGTGAGGAAAGGCTGCTTGAAGGAGTATAAATTAAAACAATCTTATTGAGGCCAGCCTTGTGGTACAGTGGGTAAAACTGCCTCCTGCAACACTGGCATCCCATATGGGCAACATTTCAAGTCCTGGCTGCTCCACTTCTGGTCCAGCTCCCTGCTAATGCTTCTGGGAAAAGCTGCAGAAGGTGGCCTAAGTACTTAGGCTCCTGTACCCACATGGAAGACCTAGAAGAAGCTCCTGGTTTGGCCTGGCCCAGCCCGGGTTGTTGCAGCCGTTTGGGGAGTGAATCAGCAGATGGAAGACCTTTCTTTCTGTCTCTTCCTCTCTCTCTCTCTAACTCTGCCTTTCAAATAAATAAAATAAATCTTTTTTTCTGTAAAAAAAATCTTATTGAAAGGAGTTTGGGGTTATTTATTAAAAATCTTTTAAAAGATGCATCGATTTTAGCCAAAGGATCCACTTTTTTATTTTTATTTTTTAAAATATTTATTTTAGTTGGAAGAGTTACACACAGAGAGAGGGAGAGGCAGAGAGAGAGGGAGGTCTTCCATCCGATGGTTCACTCCCCAGTTGGCCACAACGGCTGGAGCTGTGCCAGTCTGAAGGCAGGAGCCAGGAGCTTCTTCCAGGTCTCCCAGGGGCCCAAAGGCTTGAGCCATCTTCTACTGCTTTTTCAGGCCATAAAAAGCAGAGAGCTGGATTGGAAGTGGAGGAGCTGGGACTCGAACTGGCACCCATATGGATTGCTGGCACTGCAGGCAGCGGCTTTACCTGCTACGCCACAGCACCGGCCCCAGAGTCTACTTTTAGTAAGGAAATGTTTGGTCAGATAAGCAAAGATAGTGAAAGATTGCTCTCACATGTTTTTAGGGAAAAACTGATGTAACTTAATTGTCCATCAAAAGGGAACTGGGTAAATTAAGATATATAGTTTATAGGCTGGAGTACTAAATAACCATGTAAAATGTTGATAAAGATTCAATGTCAAAATTTAACTTGTAGACAATATATAATTTATAGAAGAGAGCTGCATCATCAAAGATCATGAGTTGAATATATTGTATTTTTATGTGATAGCTTGGTGTTTCAGCAGACTGATATTCTTTACCTGGTCAATATCAGATGAGTGCTGACTTGCATCAATTTGTCAAGTTCAGGAAGCATTAGCTGTCATCTAGCTGGTGACATGTTTGATATAAGAAATGTATTTTTGTTACACAAGTGGAATATATTGTCTCCTTTTCTTAGCCAAGACTAATATTTTGTTTCCAAAGGAAAACTGAAACATTTTCCACATTATTCTTTCTGGACAGTTGTGGGTTTTGTTCCAAAAGCAACACTCATATTCTTTAGTTTTCTTATCAATCTTGAAGCAGGCCAGATAGCTTCATGGGTCAACCTTATTTGTTTGTTTAATTTTTAAAAACTTTACTTAGTATAAAATCTTTGTTTTATTACAGTAAATGGTAGCAAAAGTTATTGTTGTTTTTTCAGAGAAATCCTAACTCAGGCTTTTGTTGAATCATGGTAGAGACTGACATTTTCCAGAAATGTACCATATTCTAAATTAATTCCTCTCTTTCCTTTTTTTATACAAAATGCAAATTCAAACATTTTTCCTAGAGTGAATCATTGATTAGAAAAAGACTTTGTTTTTAAGCTTTTGTGTATTTTTAGTAGTTGCATAGAACCTTTTCAGAATGATAAAAGTAGAATTGTAGTATTTCATATTGATTATAATCTGGTATCCCTCAAACTCAATTTCATTTCTTAAGAAGATTTATTTATTTGTTTACCAAAAAGGCAGAGTGACAAAGAGAATGGCATAGACACAGAGAGAGACCTTCCATGTGCTGGTTTACTCCAAATACCCTCAATAGCCAGAATGGGCCCAGACTGAAGCTAGTAGCCAGAAACTCCATCCTGGTCTCCCATGTGAGTAGCAGGAACTGAAATATTTGAGCTGTCATCTGCTGCTTCCCAGCACCTTAGCAGGAAACTGGGTTAGAAGCAGAGTAGTCAGGACTAGAACTGGTACTCTGAAATGGGATGTTAGTGTTGTAAACAGAGGCTTAAACTGTTGAGTCACAATACCTGCCCCTCAAACTCAATTTTAACATGCATTTAGATATATAAATGTTCATGTATAATAATGATGTAGTTAACTTGATTAAGTACCTTATATGTTGTTATTCAAATAAATCAGAAAAAGTTTATTTTTATATGTGAAACTTCCAAATAAGGTTGATGTAAGCCCAATTAATTATTTCATATGTTTAAAAACATGCTACTTAAAGATTTGTTCATTTTCTTAGCTCATTCTTCATGCATTTCTCATAAGATTGTTTATGTTAACCATCTCATCTACTTTCTAAAATATTTTTCCTACAGTTATGCAGAAGGCATGGAGGGAAAGAAATCCTCCAGCTCGAATCAAAGCAGCCTATCAAGCTTTAGAATTAAACAATGAGTAAGTTTGAAATATATGGAAAATAAGTTTGTTTTGTAGGAAACCCAGGCAAATGACTTGCTGTTTTCTTTTGTCTGTTCCTAAGTCACTTAGAATCACTAGCAGTCCTCTTCCTTGTTTTCATACAAGAGACAATATTTGTAATGTTCTATGATATCTGTATTTTGCTTCTGAAATTATAAACATAGCTTTTGAGTAGAAATTACATTTAAAATACTTTTTAGAGAATGCTGATGGAGAATGTTGATAATACTTGATAGTGAAAGGAGCACTAAAATATGTTTACCACCTGTTTTAATTTTTTTATTTAAATCATTGATTTAAAGCATTCATTCATTCCTAAGAACTTCAGTTGCTAATATTCTTGGAAGCATGACAGGGGGATTCAAAATAAATAAAACAGCTCTGTCAACTTAAGTTTTTTTTTTTTTTACATTAACAACATTTATATTTTTATAGCTCCTTGTGTTAACTTTTTATTTTGAAAAAAAAAATGTAATCATAAGAGAGCTTAATATCTAAATGTGACAGATCAATAGATATTAATATAACACAGACTAAGTAAATGCCAAGAGTAAAAAGGTGGGCGATCCCAGTAGTTAGCCTAACTTCTAGCAGGCGGCGGGAGCCCCAGGTACATTTCTCCTTACACCCCCAACTCCTAACCACCCCCCCCCCGACTCCCCCAACACCCGCCTTCTGCCAGTCAGGTAAACTGCTCCCAGGTGTGGCCCAGGCCCACCTGGAAAGCTACCTTCAAGCTGATTGGAGAGGCATATTGGCATCAGCATCGGTTCTGTCCAGAGTTAGTGTTCCCCTGAGTGAGTTACACCCCTTCTCCCTGTCCTTTAAAAGTGTATGTGGCTGCGAATACAGTTGGACATGTTCGCAGAAACTTGTCTCCAGGGCTCCTTGTGGAAAGGACACTGTCTCCCTGCTGTCCCCAACAGTGGCCTTGCAGGACAAGCTGCATAAAAATATGGTACCAGTTTAAGTTAATCAAGGAATGCTCCTGGACAATGTGAATTTAGAATTGACCTCTGAACTGCCCCACCCCCACCTCAATATAGTATCTCTTTAAGAAATGGCATCCCAAGGCACAGCAAAAACGGTGGAGAAGCTGATGGAGCAAGGACAAAAAGTCTTAGATCCACGTTGACCTCTCACCTACATAACAAAGACCAAGCCCATATTTCTCTGCCCTGCTAAAACAACCCTACTCTGCCTTGACCAGCCCTGGCCTGCCTGGACTATTAGACACATCACTATCTGAAGAGTCCAGCTATCTGCCTGAGCTCTCCCCCGAAGTCAGCAGCTCAGGCTCAGAGTCCAGCATCAGCCTAAACTCCTCCCAGCCCACACTATTCTCTTGTAGGACCTTTAGATCCAGCTCAAGCTCTCCCATTATCTTGGCAGCCCAGCTTTAGCTCAGACCCGAAAGCCTCTGCCCACTGCTTTGTATTATATAAACCACTAGTCTGTAATGGAGGGGCTCTCTCTTTCCTGTGTGTTTGCTGGCACCTGTCTGCCTCGTGTTCACCTGGTTCTTCTGAATAAACCTGGTCAGGCTGTGGCTTCATGCTCTAAACCAGTGAATAAGTTGGAAAAAAACTGTCAGAATAAACTTTATTGAAACTAGCTTCAAGTTTATAGTAACCTGGTAGATGCTTAATTATGGGAAAAATACCTGAATTTCCGTAAGAACCATGTTGTATTTTAACTTAACTTACCATGACCCCATCCCCAACTCCTAGCTCAGTAGCAACCTTGAAGACAGCAGTGTGTATTCCAAGTATAGACTTCTAGTACCAGAGTAAGCAGAATGGATTTTATTCCAAAGAACAGTGGTTGTTCATTTTGAATATGGTGGCTCTATGAAGGACCAGCTAAAGGACTTGGTTTTATTTCAGCTAAGCCTAACTCTTTCAGGACTGACGTAACTATTCTGGGGAATGTTTGTTAGAACATTTAAAGGCAAATGCTTTAGCTACTGCTTGACCAAGGGATAACAGCTAGAGCAAAGAATAGACAAGCCAGAGAACTTATGAGACACTTTGGGAAATAAAGGCTTTGAAAAGCCCTAGAAATGTCAAAGACATTGTGGGGGGGAATACTTGCTCTGTATTAGCTGAGATAATAATGTGGTTTCTTTTCTTCATTCTACAATGTGATTGGTGTATTACACAGATTTATTTTCATATGGTGAGCCATTCTTGCATTCAAAGAATAAATCCCATTTGGTCACCATATGAAAATAAATCTGTGTAATACACCAAAAAAAACCTTTTATTTAAGGTATACAAACTTCCTGCATTTCATAAATACAACTTAGGGTCATAATGATTCTTCCAATTGTACCCACCCTCCCACCAACACTACCACCCTTCTTTCACTCCTCCCTCTCCTATTCCCATTTTTATTTTTTTACTAAGATCTATTTTCAATTAACTTTATACATGTAAGATTAACTCTGTACTAAGTAAAGAGTTCAACAAATAGTACAAAAGAAAAAAACACAACTGTTTCTCAACAATCTAGGCAAGGACTAGGACCAATGGATGGAAAATCTCTCTCCTTCCTTCCAAAAAAAATCAGCTAAAAAGTATTGTTGAAATAAGTTAAAGAGGACCTAAATAAATGGAAAGAAATCCTGTGTTCATGGATTACAAGTCTTACTTTTGTTAAGATGTCAGTCCTCTCCCAGCTGATCTACAGATTTAGTGAAATCCCTGTCAAAATTCCACTTGCCCTTTTGCTGAAATGGACAAGGTGTTCCTAAAATTGATATGGAATTGTGAGAGACCTTGAGTAGTCAAAACAAACTTGAAATAGAAGAACAAAGTTGTAGAACTTACACCTCCCAATTTTAAATCTTATGGCAAAGCTGCAGTAATTAAATCATGAGAATAGATACCTAGATCAATAATTCCAGTTGACAGTTCAGAAACAAACTCATACCTGTATCCAGTTGATTTTTGACAAAGGTGCTAAGATCATCCAATGGAGGATAAAAATATTCTTCAATAGATGGAGCTGGAACTACTGGATAGCCACCTATAAAACAAAGTTGGGCCCTTGTTTCACACCATATGTATCAGTTAATTCAACATTAATCAAGGATGTAAACATAAGAGCTAAGACTATAAAACTCTTAGAAGAAAACATGGAGAAAATCTTTATGAGCTTGGATTTTGGAGTAGTTTCTTAGATATGACACTAAAACCATAAACAACAAAAAATGAGACAAATTAGACTTCATCAAAATTAAATCTTTTGTGCATCAAATAACACTATCAAGAGATAGAAAATAGAGTTGTGATTGCCAGGGGTGGATGAGGTTAGGGAAACAGGGAGTGATTGCTAAATTGGGGATGATGAAAATGTTCTGGAATTACATAGTAGTGATGGTTTCACAACTTTGTGAATATGTTAGATGTCTCTGAATTATATACTTTAAAATGCTTTAAACTGTGTATTTTGTTGTGTGAATTTTACCTCGATTTAAGAAAACTATATTTCCAAAAATAAGATTCATCAGATATTGATAATACTAATTTTTATATTCACATCTCTATTTAAAATAGTTTTGAACAAATGTGCAAAATCTTTAGGGAGAAGAAACTGTTTTTACCATGCAGCTATTATATAATTTAAAATCATGTTCATAATTTGATTCTCACTTAGATCTTTTTTTTTTAATTTATTTGACAGATAGAGTTAGACAGTGAGAGAGAATCTAAAGCCAGGAGCCAGGATCCCACCCCAACCCTGGTCTCCCATGCGGGTGCAGGGGCCCAAGCACTTGGGCCATCCTCCACTGCCTCCCACCCGCACCGGGCCACAGCAAAGAGCTGGACTGGAAGAGGAGCAGCCAGGACTAGAACCCGGCGCCCATATAGAATGCCGGTGCCGCAGGTGGAGGATTAGCCAAGTGAGCCACGGCACCGGCCCCTCACTTAGATCTTTTTAAAAGTAGTTTTATTATGGTTATTTAAAAGCATTGAGTTGGCAGTTAGGAAACCTAATGTTTTAAGTAGCAGTATGGAGTGGGTCTTTGACTTAATCGTTAAGTTACCATTTGGGATACCCACATCTCATATTGAGGTGTCTGTTCGAGTCTGGCTACTCCACTTCTGATCCAGCTTCCTGCAAATGCACACCCTGGGAGGCAGCAAGTACTTGAATCCCTGGCACCATAGGAGACCCAGATTGACTTCTGGGCTCCTGGCTTTAGCCTGGCCCAGCCGTGGCTATTGCAGGCATTTGGAAATAAACCAGCAAATAGAGGATCTCTCCTTCCCTACTTGCCCCTCTGCCTTTCAAATAAAATGGAAATAAATACATAAAATTTAAAAAAAGCAGTATATCTAAAGCTTCAGAGAAATCCATTGCATAATCATGGGGAAATCTTTGTTGATTAGTGAAATTATTTAGAGTATCATGTGAAGGATGCTGAAATGGTATGAATTGCATTTCCATGTTTGAAAGACCGTCTTGTCACCAATGATAGCTATCTTGCCATCACTTTTGTCTCATGCTTAGCCTTATGCTTTTACCAATAATCTCTCTCTTATTTCTTAGATAAGCGATCCTCCACAGAAAAAAAAAAGGAGGACCTTATATATACCTTTACATTTTTCATAGCCACATTTAAAAAGTGAAAAAAGATGAAATTAATGAGTAATGTTTTATTTAACCATGTTAAAAATATAATATTTGGCACATCAATATTTTTAAAAATAATACTTACTGAAGTAGTTTCCATATTTCTAAGTCTTCATAACCTTGTGTGCACTTTATATTGACATCGTGCCTAATTTGCAGTAGCCACATTTCAAGTGCTCAACATCCATATGTGGCTAATGACTAGAATACTGGCCAGCGCAGGCATAGATAATCAAAACTAAGACATTGTCTACAGAGAGATGTACTTGTTTCTGGGAATGGAAGGAGAGCTTGTTCCTCTTTTTGGTCCCAGAAAAGAAATTAGTTCATCTTGTTAGCTCATTGTTAACTTAAAACATACAAAGAAAAATCTCTATTGTAGTGAGGTGAAGAAAACTTGGAGTAAACATGAGCATGAGGAAGAGGAGCCGGAGTTCAGGAGGAAGGAGGAGAATTCAGATCAAGGGTAGTTATGCTGTATGCTATTGTGGATAAGTCTAAGGGGAGTATGGAGCAGCATGCAGAGGGGACGCTCAAGTTTGGGAAAAAGGTCTGGTCTTGCAATGTGTTTCTGAGTCAGATGTTAAAGGTGCCTCCATTGGCCAAAGGACTGTCTTTTCAATCTTTACTCTGTCCCACATGAAATGAATATTATAAAATATGTAATGACTAAAAGCAGCTAGGACCATAGAATATATATAGTCTCCTGAGTAACTTTTCAGATAATTCCTTTTTTAAAAATATTTATTTTATATATTTGAAAGTCAGAGTTACACAGAGAGAGAAGGAGAGGCAGAGAGAGTGAGGTTTTCCATCTGCTGTTTCATTCCCCAGTTGGCCACAATAGCCGGAGCTGCACTGATCCGAAGCCAGGAGCCAGGAGCTGATCATCCAGGTCTCCCACGCGGGTGCAGAGGTCCAAGGACTTGGGCCATCTTTTACTGTCTTCCCAGGCCGTAGCAGAGAGTTGGATCAGAAGTGTAGCAGCCGGACTTCAAACCAGCGCCCATATGGGATGCGGGCACTGCAGGAAGCGGCTTTACCCACTATGCCACAGTGCCGGCCCCTCAGATAATTCTTTATCCTCTCTTCTATCCCCTTCCATAAAAAGAAAACATAGGCCAAAGGATCAAAGAATGGAAGTAGAAATAAAAATGACAGAAATAAAGAGCAGAAGATAAAAGAGTGGATAATTGTGGAATCGGCCATAATAAATATACTAACATGCTACTCATAAATTAAAATATTGAGTGAAATTTGTTTTGCCCTAAAAAAGCTGGAAAATTTAGGCACAGCCGGGAAACATGCTATAGAACAAAAAGACTTACCCAAGAGAAAATATTTACTTTACTAGTTGACTTAAAATTGCTTTGCTTGTTTTCTTCATAGCTGTGCCACTGCATACGTTCTACTGGCTGAGGAAGAAGCAACAACCATTGTAGATGCTGAAAGATTATTTAAGCAGGCACTCAAAGCAGGAGAAACAATTTATAGGCGGTCACAGCAGTGCCAGCACCACAGTCCTCAGCATGAAGCTCAACTGAGTAAGCAACTTTAAAACTTTAACTGATTCTTACTGTATTCTTGCTGCTATAACTGGCTCTTTTATGTTTAAAACAACAATAGGGCCCAGCGTTGTGGCAAAGCGGGTAAAGCCACCTGTAATGTCAGCATCCCATATGGCACTGACTTGTGTCCCAGCTGCTCCACTTCTGATCCAACTCCCTGCTAATGGCCTGGGAAATGCAGTGGAAGATGGCCTGCTGCCCATGTGGGAGACCTAGTTGAAGCTCCTAGCTTCAGCCTGGTCCAGTGCTGGCCATTGCTACCATCTCGGAGAGTGAACCAGCAGATGGAAGATTGTCTCTCTACCTCTCCCTCTCTCTCTTTCTGTAATGACTTTCTAAATAAATAAAATTCCAAAGAAATGAACAATAATAAGACTTAATATGTAGCCATTAGCTAATTCCCATAAGAAATAACTAATCATAATACCTACTAGTCAGCAAGACAGAAAATACATTAGCCAGAGAATGCTTGTGTAAAGAGAATAGATCTGCCCTGGTTATTGAGAGAAAATATGCTATTCTGAGACTTAATAGTCATTTATTTCATTCAAAAATTGGACTGGTTATGGTTCTTAAAAATGTTCAGGATACAGAAGAGCCTTCTAGCAATAATAAATAGTTACTACCTTTATTCTCACACTTAAAACAATAGAAGTATATCATTTGGTTTGCTCTTCAAATTATGTATCTGTATATAATCCAAAAGAGTGGCTGCTTTCACACCATCTGAGTCTTAGCAAAAAATATAGCCTTATATGTGGCATTGATTCTTTGGTTGATTTTTCTTCATAACATGTTTGGGATAGGATGGGCTATTGCCTGGTCTGAGATCCTTTCTTTTCATTCTTGGAGGTACTCTCCTAGTTCAGATTGAGAAATTTTTACCAAAGATGTTAGACTCAACAGTACTGCTGCTTGCTATTTTTGTGGTCAGAGGGTTTTAGTTCATGATTTTGCATATAGTGAGCAATGAATTGAAATATGTTTATGTATGCATTATCTGTTACCAATTAAGTTCTAAATCTTTTGTTTGTAGAAAATTTAAATGCTGGCCGGCGCCGCGGCTCAGTAGGCTAATCCTCTGCCTTGCGGCACCCGACACCAGGTTCTAGTCCCGGTCGGGGCACCAGATTCTGTCCCGGTTGCCCCTCTTCCAGGCCAGCTCTCTGCTGTGGCCACGGCGGCCATTGGAGGGTGAACCAATGGCAAAGGAAGACCTTTCTCTCTGTCTCTCTCTCACTGTCCACTCTGCCTGTCAAAAAAAAAAAAAAAAAAAAGAAAATTTAAATGCTTTCTCTCTAAGTTAAATATTGCTATTTACAGTATGTTTCATTAATGCAAGTTGTTTTAACATATAACTATGGGAATATATAAATTTTCAGCCTAAAACTATGTCTGTAAAGCCATTTTGTCCTTATATAATCTTAAATACAGTTAGGTTACAAAATTTTGTAGCACTTACTAGAAGTTATTTTATACTTTGTTAGTTACTAGTTGTTAAGAAAAGTCTACAATAACCATGGAAATTTTATTGTCATTTTTTGGTTTTTAGTCAAAATGATAGATATTAAAATAATAATTGTTTATACAGAAGCAAAACAGTAGATTACTTTTATATCTTCCTATTAATATATGTGTTTCTTTTATGTTAATATTAAATGAACTTCATTCTTAAGCAAATATCTTTATATATTACTGTACTTAGATTACTTGCTATTAGAGGCACAAATAATTCAGTATGTATTTAAGTTTTTAACACAGAAAACTTCAAACATACACAATAATAGCACTCCCATTCAATATTCATCATTGAAATTCAACAATCATTAATATTCTTCATTTCTGACACAATTTAGTTTTAGTTGACTCTTCTAACATAAGCAATTAAAAGTAATGATTGATATGTTAATGAAATAGCAGGCCATTATACATCTTTTTGCATTTCAAAATAGGGAGAGATACCAATGTACTGGTGTATATTAAAAGAAGATTGGCAATGTGTGCAAGAAAGTTAGGAAGAATAAGAGAAGCAGTAAAAATAATGAGAGATGTAAGTAAATTTAATTACTGAACTATTCTTTTTATTCCTCTAAAATATAGTTGAAGTTGCCAGTTTTTTAATGCCAAATCACTTTTTTAAAATGGAAGTTTTATAACAAGATAATTATTTAATTATATACATTTCTTAAGTGTTTGGTCTCCACGGTTTTATAAGGAAACAATAGAATTTCTACTTTAGTAAAACAGGCTTAGCTCTATTGAGTTTTGCTATGGTTTTAATAATTTTTTCCTTTTAATATACAGCTGATGAAAGAATTTCCTCTTCTTACCATGTTGAACATCCATGAAAATCTCTTAGAATCACTTTTAGAATTACAGGCCTATGCAGATGTTCAGGCAGTCCTAGCAAAGTATGATGGTAAGTCATATTTGAGTTGATTGCATGATTCAGGTATTATTTTATTAGTTATATAATTATAAATATGCTCCTATTTCTCTAATTTTCTCTTTCTAGTCTTGTCAACTACCATTTAGTATGCATTGGTACACATTGTTATTAAGTATCTTCTTTATCAGAACTTTGGATAGCAAGTGACTACAACGAGGAGCTCTGCTTCTGTTGATATTTATTTATTAATTCAGTAGCTGACAGGAGTGAGGCACTTGGAATAGAGTGGCAAACAAGAGGACATGGATTTAGACCTTATAGAATTTCTGGTTTAGTGGCAAGTGCAGACAAATAGCAGTTACACTGTAGACAGTGTGTTGAATTAGGAAAGAATGGGTACTTTGCATGTAGGAGGGTGCCTGATTTATTTTAGAGTGTCAAGGAGGGCTGTCAGGAGTTGCCTAACAATATGTATAAAAGTAATTCAGGGCCTGCGCCGCGGCTCACTAGGCTAATCCTCCGCCTTGCGGCACCAGCACACCAGGTTCTAGTACCAGTCGGGGCGCCGGATTCTGTCCTGGTTGCCCCTCTTCCAGGCCAGCTCTCTGCTGTGGCCAGGGAGTGCAGTGGAGGATGGCCCAAGTCCTTGGGCCCTGCACCCACATGGGAGACCAAGAAAAGCACCTGGCTCCTGGCTTCGGATCAGCGCGATGCACCGGCCGCGGCGGCCATTGGAGGGTGAACCAACGGCAAGAGGAAGACCTTTTTCTGTCTCTCTCTCTCACTGTCCACTCTGCCTGTCCAAAAAAAAAAAAAAAAGTAATTCAGAATAGCATTTTTTTAATAACCTTCCCAGTTTAAGACTTTTTATTTTGTATTTTTTTTAAAAAAGATTTATTTATTTATTTGAAAGAGTTACAGAGAGAGGAGAGGCATAGAGAGAGAGAGGTCTTCCATCCGCTGGTTCATTCCCAGTTGGATACAACGGCTGGAGCTGTGCTGATCTGAAGGCAGAAGGCAGGAGCCAGGAGCTTCTTCCAGGTCTCCCACATGGGTGCAGGGGCCCAAGGACTTGAGCCATCTTCTACTGCTTTCCCAGGCCATAGCAGAGAGCTGGATTGGAAGTGGAGCAGCCGGGTTTCAAACCGGCACCCATATGGGATGCCAGTGCTTCAGGCCAGCGCGTTAACCTGCTGCGCCATAGCACCGGCCCCTCAGAATAGCATTTTTACAATACTTTTGAGTTCAAAATGTAATTTACTATCTTCTCTGATCCTTATAATAAGGTAGGATGGATATTTTTCTTTTCCTATTATTGAATAAGGAAACTGGAGTTGAAGAAGTTTCAGTATTAGAAAAGATCTCCCAATCAATAAGTGGCAAGCTTCAACTTAAATCATTTCATTGTTAATTAGTCTTCCCATAATTAACAATTCAATGTTTATTGGCTATTTTTGTTGTATACTATAATAATGCTAGTTTATCACAAATAGAGTTGGGATAATTTTAAAGATGCATAGATTTTCTCCTAATTCTGAATGAGGCATCAGCTTTTAGCCCCAAACTGGAAGTTTCCTAATAAACATAATGTTTCTAGACAGTCATATCTTTCACTATAGTTGAACACATATAAGTAACTTACTCACACTTCTCCTGTTGTAGTTTCCTACATGTGAGTTTAGGAGTCCTCATGGCTTGGAGACTTTGAAATGTGCTATACTTGGAAAGGGAAGTTTATTTCTTTTAAACATCTGGAATTCTTGCATTTCAGAATAGTAGAGGCTCATGGAGAAATTTGTGAGAAAATATTTCCATATGTAACTTACTGGACTCCTGGCCTACTTCCGATACTTAAGATGAACCAGATTAGGGACGGCATCTGAAAGTCCAGAATACGACCTGACATGTTAAAAAATAAAATAAAACTAATAAAGTGTGTCTAAGTGGGTATACTTCTGGGTTTTCAGTTATTTTCATAAGTTCCAGTTTTTACCACTCTCAACTCTTGGCAGAAGTTGAAAGCAATTTCCTTATTTCTCCATTTGTTAGTATAACTCTAGAATCAAAAACATCAAGAGAGTTCTCCAGTCTTACACTTCTGATTCATTATTTTGGGCATTATTTAAAACAGGACTAATGTAGTTAGTCATTTAGTAAAAATACTTATTTTAGAAAATGCAGAAAATCCGGATATCACCTCACCCCTGTTAGAATGGCTATTAACAGGGTCCAGCGTTGTGGCACAGTGGGTCAAGGCAGTGCTTTTGGTGCTGGCATCCTGTATCAGAACACCCATTTGAGTCCCTGCTGCTCTGCTTCCCATTCACTTCCCTGCTAATGCACCTGCGAAAGCAGTGGAAGATGGCCTGCATGTACCTGCTTACCCATGTGGGAGACCTGGATGGACTTCTGAGCTCCTGCTTTGGCCTAGACCAGCTTGGACATTGCAGCCATTTGGGGAGCAAAGCAGCCAATGGAAGCTCTCTCTGTCTCTGTCTCTGACTCTGTTTCTGTTGTAACTGTATTTTTTAAGAAAACTTTTATTTAATAAATATAAATTTTGAAAGTACAACTTTTGGATTATAGCAGTTTTTCTCCCCATAACCTCCCTTCTACCCACAAACCATCCTATCTCCTACTCCCTCTCCCATCCCATTCTTCATTAAGATTCATTTTTAATTATCTTTATATACAGAAGATCAACTTAGTATATACTAAGTAAAGATTTCAACAGATTGTACCCACACAGACACACAAAGTATAAAGTACTGTTTGAATACTAGTTTTACCGTTAATTCGCATAGGGACATTAAGGACAGAGATCCTACATGGGGAGTAAATGCACAGTGACTCCCGTTGATTTAACAATTGACACTCTTATTTATGATGTCAGTAATCACCTGAGGCTCTTGTCATGAGCTGCCGAGGCTATGGAAGCCTCTTGAGTTCACAAACTCCGACCTTATTTAGACAAGGCCATAATCAAAACAGGGGTTCTTTCCTCCCTTCAGAGAAAGGTACCTCCGTTTTTGATGTCCCGTTCTTTCCACTGGGATCTCACTCACAGAGATCTTTCATTTAGGTCATTTCTTGCCAATTTTTTCCATGCCTGAGAAACTCTCATGGGCTTTTTAGCCAGATCTGAATGCCTTAAGGGCTAATTCTGAGGCCAGAATGCTGTTGAGGGCTTTTGCCATTCTATGAGTCTGCTGTGTATCCTGCTTCCCATGTTGGGTCATTCTCTCCTTTTTAATTCTATCAATTATTAGCAGACACTGGTCTTATTTATGTGATGCCTTTGACACTTAATCCTATCTTTATGATCAATTATGAACTTAAACTGGTCACTTTGACCAGTAAGATGGCATTGGTACCTGCCATCTTAATGGAATTTGGAATCCCCTGGCACGTTTCTAGCTCTACCATTAAGGTTAAGTCCAAGTGAGTGCGTGCTGAACTGTACATCTTCTCCCTCTCTCATTCCCACTCTTATTTTTAACAGGGATCAATTTTCAGTTGTAACTGCCTTTCAAATGTCATTCTGCCTTTCAAATAAATAAAATAAATCTTTTTAAAAAAGAAGAAGAATGGCTATTAGCGAAAAGAAAGTAACAAGTGCTGTCCAGGATTTGGAGAAAGGAAAAGTTTATTTTTTTTTTAGATTTATATTTTATTTATTTGGAAGGCAGAGTTACCAAAAGAGAGAGGGAGAGACAGAGATCTTCCATCCTTTAGTTCATTTCCCAGAAGGCCTCAATGGGCTGGGCTGGGTTAGGCCAAAGCCAGGAGCCAGGAGCTTCCTCAAGGTTTCCCAGGTGGATGCAGGGGCCCAAGTACTTGGGATATCTTCCACTGCTTTCCCCAGGTGCGTTAGCAGGCAGCTGGATTGGAAGTGGGGCAGCCGGAACACAAACCAGTGCCTATGTAGGATGCTTGCATTGCAGGCAGAGGCTTAACCGTCTATGCTCAGCACCAGCCCCGAGGGAAGGTCTTATGCCCTGTTAGTGGGAATGTAAATAAGTAGAGAAATTATGGAAAAGAGTATGGAGATTTCCTTAAAAACCAGAAATAGAACTGTATGATCCAGCAATCCCATTACTGGGTATATATACAAATGACTTGAAAGCATTATATCAGAGTGATATGTGCTCCATCTTTATTGCAGAAGTGTTCACAACAGCCAAGATATATCCATCATCAGTTGAGTGGATGAAGAAAATGTCACACACACACACACACACACTCACAGCAAATACTATTCAGCCATTAGAAAGAATGAAATCCTGTCTCTCTCACTCTGCCTTTCAAATATATAAAAATCATTTTTAAAAGAAAAGTATCTTTCTCTATTTTGAGAAGAAAGCCCTGATACCAAAGAAGTTGCTCCTAGCTCAAGGATGCACAGCTAGTAAATATTAGAATCAGGATTCAAACTCAGGTCTTTCTTCTTTTTGTTGCTTTATGAAAGATTTATTTATTTATTTGAAAGTTAGAGTTATACAGAGAGGGAAGGAGAGACAGAGAGAGAGAGAAAGGCCTTCCGTCCGCTGGTTCACTCCTCAATTGGCTTCAACAGCCAGAGCTGTGCAGATCCAAAGCCAGGAGCCAGGAGCCAGGAGCTTCCTCTGGGTCTTCCCATGTGGGTTCAAAGGCCTAAATACTTGGGCTGTCTTCTACTGCTACCCCAGGCCATAGCAGAGAGCTGGATTGGAAGTGGAACAGCCAGGACTCAAACTGGCACCCATATGGGATGCCGGCACTGCAGGCAGTGGCTTTACCTGCTGCACCACAGCGTCAGCCCCTCAAACTCAGGTCTTTCAAGTACATTACAGATGCTTCTACTACTATATTACATTTGTTGAATTTTTGCTGTGAATTATTTTTATTAAAATTATCTTTTTTTTATAATTCTTACCTACATTGAAAATTATTATTACAGATATAAGCCTTCCAAAATCAGCAGCAATCTGTTATACAGCAGCACTGTTGAAGACAAGGACTGTTTCAGATAAGTAAGTAGTTACAATAACTATAATAATTTGGAAAGAGTGGAAAGCTAGCTATTATGTTTTTCTTCCACTAACTTTATTGTTTTAAAGATTTTATGTATTTATTTGAGAGGTAGAGTTACAACAGTGAGAGGGAGAGACAGAAAGGTCTTCCATCTGCTGATTCACTCCCCAAATATCTACAGTGGCTAGAGCTGTGCTGATCTGAAACCAGGAGCTTCTACCAGGTGCAGGGGTCCAAGGACTTGGACCATCTTCTGCTGCCTTCCCAATCCATAGCAGAGAGCTGAATTGGAAGTAGAGTAGCTGGGACTTGAACCAGTGCCCATATGGGATGCCGGCGCTGTAGGCGAGGATTAACCTACTGCACCACAGCACTGGCCCCTCCTCCACTGACTTTAAACAGTACTCTTTTTTCTTCTTCTTTGATTGTCTGCATATATCGGGCTTCTGACTATTGGTAGTAGAAAGTTTTTAGAGCTAAATAAAATGGGACTCAGATTCAGCCTTTACCACACAACAGCTGTAGGACTTTGGGCATTTTGAGTCTCTTCCTCATCTGTAAGATGACATTGATAGCACCAAAGGGTAATTATATGAGAATTATGTATGCAGAGTGCCTGAAGCAGTATCTAGAAAGCACATACAGTAAATATTAGTCATGATGATAATGATAAGGTATGTGGTAGGGAAGTAGGTTTTATGTTAGCTGCTCTTAGATTGTAATAAAGTTATTCTCCTTTCCTTGTATTTTTGGCTGTCCTTAATTAATTCTCTTTATTTTGCTCATAAGATACTCAGAAGCAAACTAAATGGTGACCATTTTACTCTGCCTTTGATTACCTTGCCTTGATATGAATTGGAATGAAATATGCATAGCAAGTTTTCTCTCAGATGAAATATACTTCTGTCTCATGAGATTCATTGGATGTCCCTTAATAGCATTTTTTACTTTATTACTTTTCCCAAAGTGTGCCTTCATTGGACTCTTCCTGAAGGCTTTCTTTACCCAAGTTTGCAGATTTTCATTCTTTACTCTGTTTTTTCCTCTGTATAGTTGAACTAGAAGTCTTTAATTGTTAGTAGTCGTTTGGCTTTGTCTTTGGCTATTGCCAGAAGCCTCTTTGCTTCAAGGGGTTTTGTTATCTAAATCCATTTTCTTTTTTTGATATATTCATTTCTTTATTTTGTGGTTTCCTTACAGATTCTCTCCAGAAACAGCCTCTAGAAGAGGGTTAAGCACAGCAGAAATTAATGCTGTGGAAGCAATTCATAGAGCTGTGGAATTTAATCCTCATGTTCCAAAAGTGAGAAATTTTATGATGAAAATATTACTTTTATTTAAGTTTATCAAACTGATGACAATGTGTAGACCAAAATTTGTGTCAGAATTGTTTTACATTTTGCTATATTTTGTTGGTTATTATTTACCTTAAAGGGGACATTAAATTAGAAAGGTAAGAGTGATACTTAAAACTATAGACTTTGTGATTGCTGTCAAAATAAAATCTGAACTATGTTCACTTAGCTGTTCTTTTATTGTAGAGAAGAAAAAATCAAATGATGTGGTCTTAATAAAATATCATTCATATTTTAGATCACTAAATCAAGTTTCCTTAAATTGTGAAAACTTTATCTAGACAGATACTTGAGTTTTAAACTAGGGTTGGATAGACAGAAACTAAAGAAACATAGATTATTTTAATCAATGATAGGAAACAGATGTGAAAGTTCTCACAAAAACTGTTGAGTTGATGTTTATTTAGTCCCAGATGAAACTATATACCTGCTTCATTTGTCTTCATATTGTACATCTTGCATTTATACAAACTATTGGTTAATTTTTGTGTGTTATTACCCAAGTTAAAGTTTTGCATTTACAAACAGTGTTCCATGTTAGGAAATATAGAATACTCAAGAATAGATGCCCTTACTACAAGATGTAACTATAGCTGTTAATTCTAGTATAATAGTGTTAGTGGAATTTGCTGGCTAGTAGACAGAGATTAATTTCTGAAAGGTAATTTCCAACAAGAATAAGTTGTAAGCCTGTTGAGTAAGTAAAAATATGGTCAAGAAAATTACTGAAATCCAAGGATGAGCATCATTTTATTTATATTAATCTCTCATTAAGTGATACTTGTCCCATAAATTTAAATTACTCTTTTATTATGAATTGTAATTACATATATAGGAAAGTAAACAAAACAGAACTGTGCATCTTAATGATTTATTATAAAACAAATGCTTGAAAATTAACACTGAGATAAAGAGAAGCCTACCTGACTCCCTTTCCCAGTTGTAGCCTCTTATCTCCTACTTGAAGATAACCATTATTCTGACATTAGCTATGCTCACTTCCTCCTTTCCTGGGTATTTATTCCATCTAGAGCTGTATTTATTAACTTCCAGATGTATAAAGGTTATTTTTAATTTATGATTTTTGGCACAATCACTTTGTCAGAGAATATACTCTATGATTTTACTCCTTTGAAATTTTTAGCAGTTCTTAGATTTCTGTTTATTTTTCATATCTCTTGGGTCATTCTAGTTTCTAATTCTTTACTAAAATTTTAAATATAGACTTAGCTCTCTGAAAGTAATTAAAGGTAATTATTTTAAAGTTTTTGAAAATTTCAGTATCTGAAACTTTGGTATATCTGTTTCTATTATTCTTTTCTCTTGCATCATGTTCATATTCCCTGTTGCACCTAGTTTTCTTTGACTGTGAAACAAACTTTTTGTTTAAAAAGTAAAAACGGCCGGCGCCGCGGCTTACTAGGCTAATCCTCCACCTTGCGGCGCTGGCACACCGGGTTCTAGTCCTGGTCGGGGCGCCGGATTCTGTCCCGGTTGCCCCTCTTCCAGGCCAGCTCTCTGCTGTGGCCAGGGAGTGCAGTGGAGGATGGCCCAAGTCCTTGGGCCCTGCACCCCATGGGAGACCAGGATAAGTACCTGGCTCCTGCCATTGGATCATCGCGGTGTGCCGGCCGCAGCGCGCTGGCTGCAGCGTGCCGGCTGCGGCAGCCATTGGAGGGTGAACCAACGGCAAAGGAAGACCTTTCTCTCTGTCTCTCTCTCTCTCACTGTCCACTCTGCCTGTCAAGTCATAAAATCACTAAAAATGAAAGGAGAAAGAAAAGAAAGAAAAAAAAAAGTTGTAAAAATATGAGGCAGCCATTTGGCCTAGTGGTTAAATTGATTGGGATGCCACTGTCCATTATTGGAGTGCCTTGTCCAAGTCCTAGCTCCACCTTCAATTCCAACTTCCCACTAATGCACACCATACATACAATGGGAGATAACATGTGATGACTCACTGCTCGGGTCCCTGCTTTCCATATAGTAGACTTAGATTGAGCCTGACGCAATCCTGGCTATTGTGGGAATGTGGGTAGTGACTAATAACTGGGAACCCTGTCTCTCTGCCTCTCATGTAAATTAAAAAAGCAAACAAAAAAACCAAAAAACATTGTTAAAAATATGGGTTGGCATTTGACTACTCATTAAAACACAGGTTAGGACACCTGGGCCCCACATTGAAGTACCTGAGTTCAGTTTCCCCTCTAACTTTTTATTCCAGCTTCCGGCTTAATGCAGACCCTGGGAAGCAGAGGTTATAACTACTAGCTGGATTCTTGCCCACGTGAGAGACCTGGATTGAGTTCCTGGCTCTTGACTTCAGCTTGGCTTAGTCCAGGGCTACTTCAGTCATCTGGGGAGTGAACCAGTAGATGGGAGCTAGCTCTTTCTGTCTTTCTTTGCCTCTCAAATAAATACATTTTAAAAACATTTATATAGAAAAGTTATAAAATAATTAAGAACCTTAGAGAATCATATTATCTTCCTCCAGATAGAATTTTCATTGCTCTTGGCTACCTGGAGCAAGTACTAGCAGGCTACGACCACTTTGATCCAGTTTCAGTGATTACATTTTCTGGCCTGCCTAGATGACTTGAAACTGAGCAGTAGTCAGTGAAAATTTTGACTTCTTTCTGGCTCATCCTTCCTCCTTTCCAGGCCCAAATTGGATTCCAGAGGTTTTACCAGGGCTGCCTCTGTTTGGCTCCAATTTTTGTACTCCTAGCTTTTTAAAACTGCCAGACAGGCTAAGCAGCTTCTTAACCATCTTACTCAGATTTGGCAAGTCCTCCACAGAAGTAGTAGTTCTGAATGTGCCCACTTCTCTGGATTTCTGTCTTCTTTGGATTGTGGGCTAGTAATTTTCCCTTTGTTATTTCTCTGATATGTTAAATTAAGTTTTAAAAAATATTTTTTCAGCTTTTCTAATTGGGAGAGTTGATCTAGATTACCCAGTTTCCCATTACTGAAGTGGAAGTCTGTAAATGCTTTGAAATGAAATCCTCTGCTCCCTAATGGTATAGAGTGATTAAGAGAATAGATTCTGCAGCCAATCTGCCAGGGTCTGAATTCGGGCTTTACTTAACTTTGTGAATTTCAGCAAGTTATTTAACATCTCTGGACTTGAGTTTCCTCATATGTAAAATGAAGATAATATTCTCTACCTTATAGAGTTGTCATGAAGATGAAAAGAGTTCATATCTTTAAAGTGCTTTGAAGAGTACCTGGCACATAGTAAACATTCCAAAAGTGATTGTTACTGTTATTATCCAGAGTAGACTGGTAATCTGTCCCTTGCATGAGAAGATAAGCAGCAATTATTGATTGAAAAAAAAAAAAGAACTACTACTCAAATTAAATTCATCATTAAGATGTTTAAAAATTTAGTGCTAGGCATTTGGCCCAATGATTAAGGTATCACTTGGGACACACAAATCCCTTATTACAGTGCCTATGTTTGAGTCCTGGCCCCACTCCCAATTCTAGCTTCCTGCTAACATACACCTTGAAAGGCAGCAGCAGGTTGTGACACAAATAGTTGGGGGTTCCTTCCACCCACATAGGAAATCTGGATTGAGTTTCCAGCTATTGGCTTTGGCCTGGCCCAGCCCCTGCTATTGTGAGCATTTATGGAGTCAACCCAGTAGATGAGAGTTCCCTCTCTTCCTCTCCCTCTCCATCTCCCTCTGTCTGCCATTCAAATAAATAAATAAATAAATATTTTCTTTTTCTCTTAATATATAGAAAATGCATATTGTGGAGATACTATATGTGGATTTCAGAATTTTTTCCATCAAAACAAATGTAAACTTTTGATTCTATTTTTCCATGAATTTTTGAAATATCTTTGTCTATTAATGCCCAGATTGAATCTGTTTTAGATTTTGAGTTTAAAAACGCACGCTCATGTACACTGACATAATGCAAAAACAGTGCTGAGGACATTAAAGAAGACTTAAGTAAAAAGAGATATATATGTTGTTTATAGATTGTTATCACAGTTCTCCCTAAATTTATCTATAGATTCAGTATAAAATGTACAGATTTGTCTCAAAATCCACACAAGCTTGTTAGTCAAAATTGAAAACTCACCCTAAAATTTATGTGGAAATGCAAAAGATCTAGAAAAGACAAAACAATTTTGAGATAGAAGAATGAGATTAGAGGTCTTATGCTGCTTGATTTTGATACATCTGAAAGCTATAGTAATTAAGATAGTATAATGTTGGTGTAAAGATAGAAATATAGATGACTAGAGAACAATATAGAGCCCTGAAATTAATTCACATAATTATAGTCAGTTGATTTTTAAGGGTTTTAAGGTAATTCACTAGGGAAAAGTACAGCCTTTTAACAAATGGTGCTGGTCCAGCTGGGTTTTATATGCCAACACAACACAAAACAAAAACACCTAGACTCCGGCGCCGCGGCTCACTAGGCTAATCCTCCGCCTAGCGGTGCCGGCACACCGGGTTCTAGTCCCGGTCGGGGCGCCGGATTCTGTCCCGGTTGCCCCTCTTCCAGGCCAGCCCTCTGCTGTGGCCCGGGAGTGCAGTGGAGGATGGCCCAGGTGCTTGGGCCCTGCACCCCATGGGAGACCAGGAAAAGCACCTGGCTGGCTCCTGGCTCCTGCCATCGGATCAGGGCGGTGCGCCGGCTGCAGCGCGCCGGCCGCGGCGGCCATTGTAGGGTGAACCAACGGCAAAGGAAGACCTTTCTCTCTGTCTCTCTCTCTCTCACTGTCCACTCTGCCTGTCAAAAAAAAAAAAAAAAAAAAAAAAACAACCTAGACTCTTCCCTCACACCGTATTCAGTAATGAACTCAAAATGGATCATAGACCTAAATGTTAAAGGTAGAATTATAAAACTTCCAGAAGGAAACACAGAAGAAAATCTTTGTGACCCTGGGTTAGGCAAAGATTTCTTCAAAACTATGATCCATGAA